AGGCTTTCAAATTCTCCATGCATGTGGTGGTGCATTGTGGGAGCCTTATTAAACACACACACACACACACACACACAGAGAAGCATGCACACATGTGCGCGCCATCACATCCTAATGCGTTTCTGGGCTATAGTAGTGCCAAGAAAAATAAATGGTGAAACACTGGGCTTCGAGAGAGATCATTTAGGTTCTAATGTTAGATCATGCCCCCTATGATGTGATTTGGGTCAAAGCAGGATCTCTGAACCTGGCTTTGCCTTGTGAAGCGACTGCAGTGATCCACAAAATAAGAATTGCAAAAATATGAGTGCCTAATGAGCTTCAATACACGAAAAGTAAACCAGGCGACTTCAGCATTTCCTGAAAAACCTAGCCCAATATCCTGTGGAATTTTTTTGCCATACATGCCACCATCTATTTTGGTTGTTTCTTTGCTGGTGTTTGTGCAATGGGGTGTTTTCTGACACACACCCCTTGTGCAAGCAGGTGCCTCGTTACCGTGAACGAGGGGTTCCCTGGTCTTCATAGCTACAAACCGAGGACTAAGCAGCATGCATAGAGCACTTGATGTCCAGATCTGTAACTCTGTGTGTTGAATAACAGGATCCTCCCCCTAAAATCTAGAAAGAACAATAATTGTGCAAAAATTTTCTTGGGTTTTCATGTTGCCCACCCTAGTTCTAGATGATAGAGTGGAAATTTGGAACAAAAAGAACCATTTGATGATGGACGGTGCCTTCTCTTAGTACTGACCGATAGAGCCAGGGATAAAGGAGGCCACTGGGAGCTACAGACCAACAACATCTGGACAGAGGTTGGAATTAATTTGTTGGAAAATTATTTCTTTCTTGCCTCTAATGCAACAAGGTGAGAATTGTTAAAAAGTTGTACAACAGGGCCCCTGTATCCACAGGGGGCTGCTTCTGAGCCCCCCCCCCGTGGTTGCCAAAAATGGTGGACTATAGCAAACCTGTCCATAGCGTGGCTTCTGATAATTACATTGTAGAAATATGCATTTTTTTCTTTTAATATTTTCAGTATTTTCAGCCCACGGATAAACGAAACTGCGGATACGGTGGTCCGACTGTATTGTAAAAAAAAGAGTGTCAGCAACCTTATCGTCATTCATTTTTTTAAAAGTTAAAAATATGTTGTGTTATTATTGGGAACTAATTAACGCTTCTCGCTCCTTTTTGTTGCTATCGGCAATTGGTTTTGAGGAAAAGGTGAACATGGATGGCCATTAAAATCTTCAATAATTTGTTTTAAAATTAATGGATGTGTTAACCCACTACAATCATAATATTTCTCATGCCAAATTAAAATGTTTGAAACTATTGCCATTAATGCATAGGACTAGCTAGCATTAGTGTCTCCGGAATTTGCACCTCCCACATGCTATATTTCCCCCTTCCTGGCCCAAAGGTCTGTCCTAATTGAGCTGGGACATTTTTAACTAACACTTTTAACAATGTTTTGGAGAAATGAGTGCAAGGTTCCTTAGACCCTCCTGTGATTTCTCCTTTTGTTCCGTGTAGAAATCTGTTCTCTGAAAACGATGCCAGAATGGCAGGCCGCTCTGGATAAGGCCCTTATGGAAGCAGCAAAATTTCCCCTTCCAATGGAAGTATTTAAGGTAAAAGATCTATTATTCCTTCTTTTCAACCACAAAACGAAATCTTCTGATCTGTTCCGGCTCGCAGTCGTGGTGGCTGGTGTCCATTCTGGTTGAATGAAGAGAATATTGAGCAGCAGCTGGTGAGCAGATAAAGCTGCCTCGGATTCAGATTGTCGGTCCATCTCGCACAGTATTGTCCAGTCTGGCTGGCAGGTGATTCGCAACTCATGAAACAAGGGATGAGTGAGAAATTTACTCTATTCTAATGCACAGTCCTCACCTCTGAAATGTGCAAACCGAATGCCCCTATCTTGTGATACAGTTTTCCTTTTGTGATCAAAATAATGCTTAAAAGTCTCTCTCTCTCTCTCTCTTGCTCTCTCTCTCTCTGTGTGTGTGTGAGAGAGAGTGAGAGAGAGCATTGTATGAGAAGCAGTAAAATGCAAAATAAATGTATATCTTGGGCAAAGTAGGGTGCAAAAAACCGCATTTGTTAGGAAAAATGTACACAAATGTGTTCATGAATTTTCGTGTGAACTTTGCAAAATAGTCTCATAGTGATGCAAAAAGAAGATGAACCAAAACATTTCTCATGAACGGAGAAACAGAGAGACTGGCAAAACGTTAGGAAGGAAAACCTTAAGAACACGGCCAAACAGCCCGGAAAACCCACAACAACAGAGAGAAAGCCAGCATTGAGAGATTTATCCATTACTATGTGAGAGAAACGGGGAAAAGGATATTCATAGAATCATAGAAATCATAGAGAAGTGAAGTTGGAAGGGGCCTACAAGGGCATCCAGTCCAACCCCCTGCTCAAGGCAGGAAAACCATCCAAGCAGATCTGCCAGGGGATTAAGTTTTTCCTGAACGCCTCCAGTGTTGGAGCACTCACCAACTCCAGAGGTAACTGGTTCCACTGTCACACTGCTCTGATTGGTTGCCCCTTAGCTTAGACTTGGGTAGCTTGGACAGCTGTCAAGACACGTTCTCTAGGTTGAAACGGGGGCTGATAAATGCCAGATTGTTTTACAGGGGCTCCATTCCTTCCTGGAGGGGAGAACTCAGAATATGGTTCCAGGGGACTCCTTCTCAATGCCCTGGCCACTGGCCTGTTGAGTCCCTCAAGATTCTGCTTCCCTACCATGCTTTTTAACATGGGAGAGGTTTGGGGGTTCGGTGTCACCAGCGTGCGATGACACCCAATGCTATCTCTCCTTCCCATCTAATTCTAAGGAAGCTGTTTCAGTTCTAAATCAATGTCTGGTGTCACTAATGGATTGGATAAGGGCAAATAAGCAGAAATATATTCGCGAAGGCTTTCACGGCCGGGATCTGATGGTTGTTGTGGGTTTTTGAGGCTCTTTGGCCGTGTTCTGAAGGTTGTTCTTCCTGAGGTTTTGCCAGTCTCTGTGGCCGGCCTCTTCAGAGGACAGGACTCTGAACTCTGTCCACGCTCTTTCTGAAGATGCTGGCCACAGAGACTGGCGAAACGTCAGGAAGAACAACCTTCAGAACACGTCCAAAGATCCCGAAAAACCCAGAACAACCAAATAAGCTGAAACTTCCTCCAGACCAGATAGAGGTACTCCTGGCCAGTCAAAAAGCAGACCAAGGAATAGGCATGCAGACTGTACTGGAGGGGGTTACGCTCCCTCCAAAGACACAGGTGTGCAGCTTGGGTGTTCTCCTGGATTCGTCTCTGAGCCTGAATGTCCAGGTTTCGGCAGTGGCCAGGAGCGCCTTTGCACAGTTACAACTAGTGCACCAGCTGCACCCGTTTTGTGAAAGAGCTGATCTGGCCGTGGTGAGACACGTCCTAGTTACATCTCGGTTGGATTGCTGTGACACACTCTGTGTGGGGCTGCCTTTTGAAACTGTTTGGAAGCTCCCGAGGGTCCAAAATGCAGTAGCCAGACGGCTGACGGGGGCGAGTTACAGAGAACATATAACTGCCCTGTTCTGGCAGAATTCGAAGTGTTGGTTTTAACCTATCAAGCCCTGAACGGCTTGGGTCCAAGCTATCTAAAAGATTGAATCTCTCTCTATGAGCCTTCCTGGGCATCAAGATCATGAGGAGAGAGGCCTTTCTCTCCATCCCACCGCTCTTTTGAAGACCAGAACCAACCAGGGGTGGATGGCCAGATCAATAAACGTCTTAGTTCTAGGATTTCCCAGAAGATGTGAACAACGCCTTGGGCTCCTCTGATTCTGTCTTGCAGGATCATGCAGACTTAAGGAACCACTTGTTCACAGTGGGAATGAAACTGGAGGTGGTGGATACACGAGAACCCTGCAGTGTCTGTCCGGCCACAGTGTCTAAGGTGAGAGGTCTCAACCGGGGGGGAAAGAGATACAACTGGCACAGTTCTTCAAATAGGTGGTGTTGGTTTTGACTAGCATTTGTTTTTCCTTCCTTTCAGCTTGAGTGTGGCCCATGAGGGCACACTTCAGGGCCACAGATATTCTGGGGAAACAGAAGGAGGCTAACACCTGGATTTGGAAGGTGTTCTGATGACTAGTTTAAAAAAGAAATAGGGATTAAGAATTGGGAGTTTCAAAGTCTCCGAAGAAAATAGAGGTTGATGATATAGCAGGACCTCCGTATCCACGGGAGATCGGTAGCAACACACAGATACCTGCAGATGCTGGAAAACAAACAGTAAACAGTGTTTGTAAACAGTAAACGAATTAAATTCGCTCTGCAGTTAATGTCTTGCAAAAAATTCATCTTGAAAAATGCATTTCCCCATAGGAATGCATTGAAATCTAATTAATGCATTCCTATGGGCAAAAAAAGTCAGAACAAAGTCAAATTTGGTTTACAAAGGGTTTAAGTGCTCTTTAAAGACATACATATTGTGCAGATGATTTTAAAAATTTCAATAAAAAAACTTTAACTTTTTAAACATCATAGAAAGACTCTTAAAAATCAGCAAACATGAGGCAGGAACAAAAAACGGAAAACATTCGTCTTGCGAAGCACAGCCTTAGGAACATTTGTCGTGCGAGTCATCAACCCCATTGCCAAAACCATTCGTCTTGTGAGTTTTTTGTCCTGCAAGGCATTCGTCTAGTGAGGCATCACTGTACCCATATTTTTCCATGTATAAAACGCCCCCATGTAAAAGACGCCTCCCCCACTTTTCTAACCCCAAATTAAGAAATCTAAGTGGGGCTTAGCAAGTGGAGAGGAAAGCAGGGATCAAAGCCCTGTAGGATTACTTTGATCCCTGCCTTCCCCTCCACCTGTTTTTGTTCTCTCCTCATCTTACTTCTGTGTATAAGATGACCCTCAATTTTTAGTCTAAAGATTTTAGACACAAGTATAGTCTTAGACACGGAAAATATGGTACATAACGTGGTCTTTGGCTCCCTCTAGTGGCCTATTCTAGTAACTTCACCTTTAGAAATCTATATTTCTAGGATTTTTCTTTTAATATTTTCAGTTCGTGGATAAGTGAATCAGTGGATACTGATCCCATGGGGCTCCTGCTGTATATCAAAATCCCAAGTAGGCAAATCACAACCGATAGTGATAGCATTTGAAACTGCAAAAGGGGAAGTGTGTGGCGCAATGAGGAGGATGAAACTAACTACAAGGAACAGGGGAAATGTTGTACAGAATATGTATTTGGATCTCGTATGGCAGCACCTCCCAACTTTAGATCCTTGGACGTTCTTGGGCAGCAAATCCCCAAAGCCTTCACCACTAGGTGTGCTGGCCAGGATTTTTGGCAACCACTGTCATACGGGATCGACACACCTTCCTTTCTGAGATGTCTCCCTGGCCCCCTGTTCCAGAATGCTTTAATGCAAACCAAAAGGAAATGAAGACCTGCAAGAACTCACAGCCAAACATTTTGTGTGCAACAGCAGGATCTTCCCCATGGATCTCACACTGTTTGGTTTGGTTCCCTTCAGGTTTTTAACGACCAGTTCGTTCAAGTGACCATTGATGACCTCCGTCCGGAGGCGAGGGAAACCACCATCCTTTGTCATGCGGATTCCTTAGGGATCATGCCGGCACAGTGGTGCCTGAAAAACGGAGTCCACCTGACACCTCCGAAAGGTTCGTATTGCTGCATAAAAAGCTGTTCTGGGCTTCCAGAATCCTACGATCCTCTAGCTTCTTGGACTGTGTTTTCTTTTAAGAACAGGATTGTGCGATCCAGAAGCAGAGATGGGCAACTGGTTTTGAGTGAGAGGAAGATCGGAGCCTTATATGGGAGAGTCATTCCTTTTGGTATGCTACGTAGCACCAGCAGAGATGGGCAACTGGTTTTGAGTGAGTGGAAGATGCTGGCATTGAAGCCTTATATGGGAGAGTCATTTCTTTTGGTATGCTAAGTAGCACTTGTTGGGATTTGGTGTGGTAGAGTTTGGTGGGAGGACAATGAGCAGATAAAAATGGATCTGGCAGGAACCTACGTATGGAGCAGATGGAATAACAGTCTCCCTTAGTAGATTTCCCCTCTTTTGTTAGTTTACCTCAACTGGCACTGATTTGTTTCAATATATTCATGGAATAACAGTCTCCCTTAGTAGATTTCCCATCATTTGTTAGTTTACCTCAACTGGCACTGTGTTTCAGTGCATTCACAGAGACTCTGGTACATTAGAAAGAATAAAATATTCCTGTTTACTTACCGTTCTTCTTATATAAAAAACAAATATCATATTTTGTGGAAATGTTAACTAGTTACATTACTGAGGTCAACTCATTATTTACTGACTGACTGGTTATGTTTCAGACAAAACACTTCACTTTAACTGTTCACTTCTGACTCCATAGAGAGACTAACTGAACTCTGACAGGAAAAAGGTCGCAGCAGGAGTAGGAAGAGAACTCAGAGGTAGAGACGGAAACAGTCAGCTGCTACTGAGTTGACTGGTAGCAATCCCAGTCCCGAAAGATCCTTCCCCTCCAAAATCCATTAAAGGCATCATATGAGGGTGCAATATATCCAACAGCAATATCCACCACACAGTTCCCCCCTCCCAGTTTTCTCAACAACAACAACGACAACAAAAAACACCTTGGGGTTTTCTGTGCATTTCCTTCTGAATGTTGGAAAAATCTGGAGCATGTGAAAAGTGGAAAAAAAGCTCAGTCGTTTCTTAAGCAGACTCCCTTCTGTGGGCCGGCAGCCTACCCATCAGCAAAAATAAATAATATTTTGCACGTTTGAGCATTGGGCAGTGTTTGGCAGAACAGTGAACTCAAAGTAGGTATTTTTTAAACATGAAATAAATGCTGCACCATTCTTCCAGCAGAGCCTGGTTTGAGGAGGTGAGGCAACGTGTTCGTAATTGAATTTCTCCATCCCAGCCTTTTTCTAAGGCAGATTAATAGTACAGAAGGAATGTATGCAGAACAATAAGAATAGATTTCCCAAGGCCTGAAATAGGTTGGGGCTCTTTCTACTTGATGCCAGGTGGCAAATTAACATTCATTAGCTACCACTGTACATAAGCACTGAGCTGGCGCTGTTTATATTTATTAAGCTGGATTTATAGACCTCTTCTTAAGTGTTAACGGCCATTGTGCAGTTTTACAAGCCATTAAAAGAAGAACGCATTTCCATTAGCAGCTCAGAAAAAAATCTCTTTTGCAAAATGTGTAGCCTTGTGCTTGGGTGCCCCCTCGGCTGCAGCTTGATGCCAGCCACGGAAATAATGTCTCCTTGCTCAGTTTGGGGCACTTCGTAATTCATAAACAATTCACATTTTAAAAGTGGTGAACTTGCCCGTGTTTAGGACATGGCTGTTCTCTGGTGTGCATGTGGGTTGAAAACCTCTCACATGTGACACACACACACACACACACGCACGCACGCACACACACACACACACACACACACACACACACACACACACACACACACAGAGCATAATGTCTGAGAATGTTTAAAGCCAAAACAGCGCATAGGGAGCTGCTGCATACTGGCTAAAATCCTGTTACGTTGCTTAGAAGCCTCCAAAGATTTTCTCAAATATTAAGAATTAACGGCTACAGGATTACATCTGCAAGTTCCTTTATTATCTGTTGATCTTCTGAACGTAGCCAAAAACCTCTTTTTGCTACATGTGGACAAATCTTATCCGGGTGATAATCCCTAAAGATGAGCCACGGTCTTGCATGTCCCTCTATCCATGCTCTGGTTTTGGTGCCTTGATCTTAGCTTACACAGATCCCAGGTTTACTGTTACCTCCAAATGGTGGAACTTTGGTTTAATGTTGGATAACGAACCAGAGTAATAAAGAAGGGTGGGCCCAGTTCGTCAACCAGCATTAAACCAGGGTTCTTCAGCTTAGATAGAACAGAGCATGCTGGCTTAATGGAACTCAAGAATGAGGTGCGCAAGCTAGGACGTAAAAGGAGAAAGCCATCTGCTGCTCACTGCCAGATTCATAAATCATGGTTTATGAAGGCCAGAAAGATAATCTAATCATGACCTTCAGTTTAGTCATTGGGCACAACGTTTGTAAAATTACAATAATGTGGTTTGTGACAGGAATGGAGGTACTGGCTCTGGAAATGCTATCCGTGTGACCTAGGTATGTTTATGCCACATGAAAGCTGTAGCTGTGCATCCTTTCCCAACCCAATGGCTTCCAAATGATCAGGACTACGACTCCCATCATCTCCAATCATGGCTTGTACCAGCTGGGTAGCACAGGAGTTTGAAGTCCAACAGACCTGAAGGCCATTTGGTTTCATCAGGTTGATATATCGATGACAAGGTGTGTCTTCTCTTTTCCCTCCAGGTTTTTCCAGCCAGGATTTTGACTGGGCCGATTACTTGAAGCAAAGTGGAGCAGAAGCAGCTCCTCAGTCTTGCTTCAGAAATGTAAGCTTTCTTCCTGTTCTGCTACCTTCATTACAGGTGACATTGCTCCTCCCAGGTCTGCATCGTCGTGTATAAGCTTAACTTCCATTTTTCTGTGTCTTAGAGCAGTGGTCCCCAACCTTTGGCCTCCAGATGTTCTTAGACTACAATTCCCATAAGCCTTCACCACCATCTCTGCTGGCCAGGGTTTTTCTGGGAGTTGAAGTCCAAGAACATCTGGAGGCCCAAGGTTGGGGACCACTGTCTTAGAAGATGCTGAAGTGTTGATATAGATAATAGCCAAAATTCTGTTACTTTTGGTAGTCTGTTGCACAAGAGTAGGCTCATTGAATCAATGGGGATTTAGAAAGTCAGCTCCTCCGTAAGTCTAATTGATTCAAATGAGCCTACTCTGATTGCAACTTACTGTACTAAAGTGAGTTATAACTAAGCGTATTGAATCGGTAGAACATGGGGAGGATCTGACACACCAAATCCCTATTGATTCAATGGGCCTGTAGCTGTTGTTTAGTTGTTCAGTCATGTCCGACTCTTCGTGACCCCATGGACCAGAGCACGCCAGGCCCTCCTGTCTTCCACTGCCTCCCGGAGTTGGGTCACATTCATGTTGATCGCTTCGGTGACACTGTCCAGCCATCTTGTCCTCTGTTGTCCCCTTCTCCTCTTGCCCTCACACTTTCCCAACATCATGGTCTCTTCAGTGGGCCTACTCTAGTGCAATTTATTATGTTAAGCAACAGGATTTGGATCAGGATGTCATTAGGTTGATTCTGAGTTATGGTGACCTTCCCAGAGTTGGCTATATAGAAAGTCCTTGAAAACGGTTGCCTAGTTCTTCCTTTGGGTGTTGCTCCCATTGATGTAGTGGGTCTACTTTCATTGGTCAAGAGAGATTCAGACCTTTTAGCTTTCAACACAGGCTTGCCATAATATCACACTGACTTTCTCCTAGTTTTCCCATGAGTATTACTTCTCTCACACGTACCACTCCTGTTTATAATGGGTATTCTTTCCCTTCTCCACATCTCCCCTTTGCTGAGAATTCTTCTGCTGGATGCCTTAACTAGAGATGGACACGAACAATAGTTAGGAGATTCGTGCTGGTTCATATGGACATCATCCCAGGTACTGCGCCTTCCCTTCCCCACACCTCCCCGGCTGGATTCCCCACTCACCAGCTGGTGCATGCTCCTCTCCTCTCCAACTCCTCTCTGGCTGTTTGACCACTCTACGGCCGGAGCATGGGGTTCCCTGCCCTGCCCCCTTGGCTGATTGCCCGCTCAGGCGGGCAAACCCATTCTCCTGCCGGAGATGGGTCAAACATCCAAAGAAGAGGAGGAGAGGCACATGGGATGGTTGGTGAGGGGGTCATTGGCGGGGGAAGGGAACATGCGGTACGAACCTCTGAACCAAGGTTTGGGTCCATCTCTATCCTTAACCCATCCCCTTAAATTCGAATATATTTAAATAAATACAGATTCACCCTCCATTTACTGTGCCTCCTGATGCATCTGCTTCTCTGATGCATCCTATGTTCTGAATGTTCAGTTGTAACTTTGGGGTTCATATAAAGTAGGACCCCCATATCCCTTGGGGATTGGTTACAAGCCTCCCGTGGATACCAAAAACTGAGGATAATAGTGAATATATAGATACAGCATGATAAAAGAAAAAAAATCCAGAAAAATATTTTCGCACACATTACCAGGACTGGCCACTAGAGGGCTTCAGAGACCATGTTATATATTCATAGCACAGTCTCTGGCTACCGCTAGTGGCCAGTACTGGTAATACACATGAAAAGATTATTCTGGATTATTTTTGTTCAATATTTTTAATATTTTCAGACACTGAATCAGTGGATACTGATCCAGTGGATAAGGGGTTCCTACTGTACATACTCTCAGGTTCTGTCACGTTATCCTCTCTCTTTTGCTACATCTCCCAGAATCCCCTGGCTAATACAGATGCCAATGCTACTGGCTGGCAGATTATGAGAGCTGTGTCCAAAAAACATCCCCCCCTCCAAAAAAATGCTGGTCGCACGTGATGCACCTTAATGAATGATGATGAGTAATGCACCTTAATGAATGATGATGAGGACTGACTCGCTGCCTATGGTCACTGGCATGGTACAGGAGAACATTGCATTTTCTCAGCTCGCAGTGCAGGCGAACACCTTTGCTCTGAGAGCCGTTGAGCTTTTGTTTAAACATGTTATTTTATACTTGTGGAGCTAACTTTAGGGTTTTTCAATTAATACCATGCAGATCATTCCAGTTTCCCCATTAATCATCAGCGTGGGAGCTTCAGCCAATCAGCCGGCCCCATTAGTCGGTACTTCTAAAGCCGCCCCCCATGATGATGAATCTCGAACATCCATTATGAAGCTGAAATGGCTCCTTAAAGTGCTGCCCTCAGCATTTAATGGGTTCTTGTAGCCGGCCTGCCACAGCAGGCAGTTACTGCTGACTCCTCATTATTCATTTAGCTATTTTTAATTCCGCTCTCTTTCCACGCAAGGTAGTTCACCATAATAAAAATTGCATGCCATCAAGTCTTTTCTGACTTATGTGTACCCTCTCTAGGTTTTTCTAGGTAGAGTGCACTTGCAAGAGGCTTGCCCGTCCCTTCTTCTGCCCACCCCCCCAGAACTGTGCAGCTTGCCCAAGGCCACCCAGGCTGGCTTTTCTCCTGGGATGCAAAGCAGGGGAATTGAACTCCCAACCTCTAACTCCACAGTCAAATACCGAAGTCTAATCTTTCAGCTCACAGTATGAAACAGCTTGGATAGTAAAGCTTGTGCTCATTTTGCATGAAAAACACGAGAAGGGCCAACAGTGGCTGCGTTCAAAGTTGAAATCTGGGGTTTTGAAATTTTGCCAGTTTCTTGATTATTTTATTTTGTATGTGTATGTGTGTGTGTGTGTGTGTAAAGAAAGAAAAAGGCTCTTGCTGCTGACTTCTTACTCTCTTCCATTTCTCTCCGCATGCATTTTATGTACAAGTGGTGCCTCGCTAGACAGTTACCCCGCATGACAGTTTTTTCGCTAGACATTGACTTTTTGCGATCACTATAGCGATTCACAAAACAGTGATTCCTATAGGGGAATTTCGCTGGACAATGTTTGGTCCCTGCTTCGCAAACCGATTTTCGCTAGACAACAATTTGCTTTTCGCTAGACAATGATTTCGCTAAACAGCGATTTCAGTGGAACGGATTATCATCGTCTAGCGAGGCACCACTGTACTTATCTAATCTTTAGAAATGAAAGATGAACCGGAACGGGATCCCAAGCCAGTTAATTCTGTTTGAGTCCCATTTAAATGAATAGGACAAGTGATGTTAAGGTTCCACTGATTTCAGTGGGAACCAGCTGCTGCTAAGATTGGCTGGATCCAACCAGTTTCTTAGAGAATTCACAGTGCCTCAAAGGAGCCACTGCTGGTGTTTTGTGCCCCTGTTCCTTTTGGTTAAACAGGTTTTGCAGGGTTTTGAGACAGATGCAAAACCTGCCATACCTGTTTAACCAGAGACAGCCCTGGGATGAGTATAGGCAGAATGCCTTTTTTAGATGACCCAGACATGCCGAAGTAAGTGAGAAAATAAAACAGTACTGATTGCAGAAGTAAAAGGGAGCAAACCTGTGTCTGGTAACTACTTAGAACTTCTTTCAGGTATCCTTCAGCCGAGGCTTTACAAAAAACTTGAAGCTTGAGGCTGTGAACCCTAAAAACCCAGCTGAGATCTGCGTGGCTTCTGTTTCTTCAGTAAAAGGAAGGTTGATGTGGCTCCACTGTGAAGGTAAGTTAGAATGTCTTTTCTACTGCAATACAGTAGGACCCCGCTACCTGCACGTCTTTTCTACTGCAATACAGTAGGACCCCCCCTACCTACGGGATCAATATCCACCGATTCATTTATCCACTGTCTGAAAATAGTAAATAAAACCCCCAGAAATGCCTATTTGCTGTATTTTTTCCATTTATAAGATGCCCCCATTTATAAGACACCCCCACACTTTTCTAACCCAAAAACATAGCTTTGAGTATTCAGCCTCTGGGCTCAGAATGCGCAGACATTAGGAGTCCCTGTTGCATCTGAGCCTACAGGCTCCACCTCCGACAAGGTGTGTTCCAATTGGTTTGTTCAGCATCAGCTGACGTCAGTTCCGTAAAGCTCGTGATTGGAGGAAGCTAATCCTCCTGATTGAAGGAAGCCTGTTTACAGAGGCAAGGCACAGGCCATTTTGTTCTCTCCGTGTTCTCAGCTTACTTCTGTGTAAAAGACGCCCCTCATTTTTTGGTGTAATGATTTTAGGAAAAAATAGTGTCTTATACACGGAAAAATATGGTATATGTATTTCCAGGGTGGATTTACCAGGACTGGCCACTAGAGGGAGCTACAGACCATGCGGTGTATAGCTTGCACTCCTTCTGTGCTTTTTCAGCCTCCAAGGGCAGAGGGTTTTCAACCCTTAGGTGGGTTAGGGGGTCCTAACTGTAGGTGGTCCCTTATCTTGTGATGTCCCTTATCTTGTGATGTTGGTGATACTATGGCAGATTCAGCTTAAGTACTTAATTTATTTTCAATGTGAGTAGAAACAAATGAAACCCCTATGCCAAAATAATGTGACTCTTCAAAGTTCTTCAAGGTACCAGCCAGTCATATCCTCTTCTAAGTTATATCATTATTATTATTTTTTGCCATGTGCTCTTCTCATTTGCAGATTTCCCTCTCCTTAGCCACCGTTCTTGCTTGCTCTTTCATTGGGCAGCTTAAGGGTTCCCACCATTACAGTACAGTAGAATGCCTCTATTCTCAGGATCAGCATCTACGGATTCATTTATCTGCTGCCTGAAAATATCAAATGGAAAAAAATCCATAAAAATATGTATTTGTATATATTTCCGTAATGTATTTACCAGAACCATCCACTCAAGGGAGCTAGAGACAATGCTATGTATAGTGTTCACTATTTCCACATGTTCCAGCATCCGCGGTGGTCAGGCTTAGATGGATATTGTGGTTCTACTGTATCTTGAACCTCTCACAACTAGTGGTGTGCAGTGAATCCTGACAACTTGTTCACCCGAAAAGCTGTGCAGGAGAGGGTAATTCGTTAACAGAAACCCCAGATGTGTAGGGAGAAAACTCTAGGTAGTTTAACTGCTGTTGGTTTGGGCACTCAGGATTCAACCTCCCATGAAAGCCCTCTTTACAGTGTCTCTGCTGGCCCGCTCACCTGCCTGCTTGTTCTGTGGCAGGAAACATGGGAGATGGTCCATATACATACACATTCATACCCATTTTATGTGAACTCCATGCTTAATTAAAAGTATCCAAGATCAGACAGACTGCAGCACATGAAAGTTTATGCCCCTTCAAACTTGGTAGTATTTCAGTGGGCACAAGATGTTTTGAGTTTTCCCTAGTAGCTGAGTAACCAGGCATCGCCCTGCTTGAAATACATATAGAGCACATATCTCTGGGGGTCAGATATGCACAGTGGCAATTGCATTAACGTAAAACATGCAGCCACCATGTGATGTTTTAACTGATCTCCCAGTCCCAGCAGCAGCAATGTGATCGCAAAAACGATCACAAAAAAAATCATCGCTATGCGGATTCGTCGTTAACCGAAGCACTCGTTAAGCGAGGCACCACTGTATTGGCCCACTTCCATTGTGTCAATTTTTGCCTTGAATTGCCATAAGTTATGAAGTCTCCATAGATGTTTGCTGTTGTTCACTGGCTCACCAGACTGATATACAAACATCTATGCCGGTGGTTCCCAACCTTGCATCCCCAGATGTTCTCGGACTACAACTCCCAAAAAATCCTGCCCGGCTCTACTAGTGGCAAAGGCTTCTTGGAGTCTTAGTTCAAGAACATCTGGAGTGTTTGGAAACTGCTGATCTATGCTGGCTTCATAGCCTGGGGCAATTCACAGCTGAGGTTTACCCCAGTGGAGTCATGAAGGCAGGCAAAACTAATAAGATTCTGGTCAACAGGTCTTCTGTAGTGGTTGCATCTCGTAGAAGGCAAGGGGGGGGGGAATCAAACTTCCAACTTCTGGCTCTACAGCCGGGATGAGATAAGTCAGCTTGAAAGAAGAAGCTCAGCTCCTCACCACTGCTACATCATCCTTGGCAAGAAAACTGAGCATATTGCTTTCTGACATTGGGCCTCAATCACTATTATGCTACTTTGCTTATGATCCAGGTTGTTAATTTTTACTAGCTCATTTTAGGATTTAATACTGAGTTTTAAGGATTTCATTTCTATAAGCAATAATGTATGTCCTTTGCGCGCTAGAGATGTCTCTTTAAAAAGGGAGGAAAGATCCAATTCCACGCTAATAAATTCACCGGATATAGTCCCATTTCATCTGTTCCATGACCTGACACAGGCTGCACAGTGTATTTCCTTGATTCCTTGTCTGTCGCTCCCCAGATCATCTGTACGCATTTCAACCTCTTGCTTCTCTTGGGTTTGCTTTTCAGCTTCTGGAGATTGCTTGCAATCCATTAATAATTGCACTGGAAATTACAAATCCAACAGTCAGAGCAATCAAACTACCGGTAATAATCAATGGCCAGAATCCTATGGGTGTTCTTCACCTTATGGTTTGTGGTCTTGTGGTTGTTGTTACAAACCGTCAAGCTGCCTCTGCCTTATGGCAACCCTGTGAATGCATGACCTCCAAAATGCACTGCCCTCAACATGCATGCTCAGCTCTTGTAAGCTCAGGGTTGTGGTTTCCTTTATGAAAGAAGTCCATCCCACATTTGGTCTTCCTCTTTTTCTGTCGGCTTCAGGATTTCCTCCCCATATTGTCTTTTCCTATGAATTGTGCCTTCACTTGATGTGCCCAAAGTACGGCAACCTCAGTCTCTGCAGTGAATTGGGCTGAGTGGCTTGGCCATACACTTGGCCTCCTGCCCAGCTGCACAACTAAGATGTGTCTCGGCCCTTTATTAGTAGGAGAGAGTAGCTAATTGCACCAAGATCTGTTGAGTTTACAGCAGCAGCTAAGCCATATATCTAAAACTAAACAGAACGGGAAAGGGCCAACAACTGAGAGGGAACAGCAATTAAGCATAACTCTTTCATTACAGAACACCTTAAACAGAAGGATCACTAACCTATCGCAGGTGGCTAAATGTGCAGAGTTCAGCAAGACAGGGACTAGAATCCTGTGGCTTACTTACATCAATATAAGTGCAACAATATAAATCACAGTGATGTATTTTTACTAGTTCAGCGGTTGGTGTTTGCATTCCTTGTCACGTGCTGGTCATGTGGCTTGGCCTGTGACACAGAATGCCAGCAGCAACTCCTTAGCTAGAGACCAATTTGCTGCTCTGGTTTTGGTCGGCAAACCTAAGCCATAGGATTCTGGCGTGTGACTTGAGTTTGCTAACCCTCGTGGTCATCATCGTAATCATCATTGTGTGGACTAAAAGGCTCGCTTTACAGGGTCGTTGTAGGGTTACTAAAAGAATGTGTGTAAAGCAATTTATAAGAAGTTCCACAAATTTAATTATGTGGAGATCGGTATATATAACTGGAATGCTTTTGTAAATAGATACTTCAAGCAGAATTTTATTGCTTTGTAAATAGCACCTTATTCTTCTTTATGTGTTTTGAGACTGTGTAGATGATGAATGATGCTTGCTGTTAGATTGGAGGGATTATCCCTTCCCCCCCCCCCGCACATCGTATCATTTATGTAGGAACGAATACTTCTCTGTCTCATGTTACAGCTTTCCTAGCTTCAAAAAATTGCTTTATAAATCTGTGTTTATAGGCTTACCGGCGCCTGCTCCAGAATTCATCGTCGACGTCGAATCAATGGATGTATTCCCAGTCGGTTGGTGCGAGGCGAACGCTTACAAGCTTTTGGCACCACATAAAGCAGTTTGTGAGTCCGTGAAACATCACATTTATATTCTTAACCTTCACCCGGGTGTTTCAGCAGTTAGAGCTTAATCAGCAGAAGACGAGATTTTTCTGAAATCTATAACATGACCTCGGTCGTGCTTTGAGCAGAGCTTAGAGACATCACTAATTTGGGTGCTGGCTTCCAAAGTTTACACCAAGTTAAACCACCACCTTATACCCAGTGAGATCACAGTATTTTCTGACTCTGCATATAATAGGAACATCTTTTATTTTGTCTAAGCCGTTTCTCTTTTGTTTGTAATACCTAAACTAGTACAGTGGTGCCTCGCTAGACGATGATAAGCGAAATCATCATCTAGCGAAAAGCATTTCCCCATTGGAATGCATTTAAACCTGTTTAATGCATTCCAATGCGGAAGAATCATCGTCTATCGAAGATCGACCATAGGAAAGCCGGTTTGCAAACTGGCGATCAACTGTTTAAATAGCTGTCTTGCGAAGATTAGGTCCCAAAACCACCCATTTTGCGAGCGCGGAGGAGCTGTCAAAATCGTCGTCTAGTGAAAATCGGTTTGCGAAGCAGGGACCAGCGAAATTCCCCCATAGGAATCACTGTTCTGCAAATTGCTATAGCGATCGCAAAAAGTCAATGTCTAGCGAAAAAACTGTCATGCAGGGTAACTGTCTAGCGAGGCACCACTGTATATTAATGCTAGCAATAATGTGATAACATGAACTAGCAATAATCTCATATATATATTTTAAAAAATAAAAAATTCAGAGGATGATTTAGGGGGAGAACACCGGGGTCTGTTTCTGTGGTCCTGACCTTCATGCTCCAACTGCCTATGTCACCAAAACACCACCCACAGATGTGTCCCCCTGTCTTTATAAGAACAGATCAACTGTTCAGAGGAGAAAATGTCATACAATCACAGAATAATTGAGTTGGAAGCGGCCTGTAACAACATCGAGTCCAACCCCCTGCTCCATGCAAGAATCTAAATCAAAGCAGATCTGGCAGAGGATTGTCTAATGTTCTCTTGAATGCCTCCAGCTTTGGAGTGCTCACCACCTCCCGAAGTCATGGGTTCCATCGTTGTACTGCTCTAACAGTTGAACAGTTTTTCCTGATACTCAGCCTAAATCTGGCTTCCTGTCGCTTGAGCCCATTCTTAGGTGTCCTGCACTCTGGGATGATGGAGAACAGATCCTGCCCATCCTCTGGAGGACTACCTCTCAAGTATTTGAAAAGTGCTCTCCTATTTTCCAAACGTCAACTCAAATCATTGCAGCTTGAAAAAAGTAGAAGCCCCCAGGAGCAGAGGGGAAAAAGTAGAAGCCCCCAGGAGCAGAGGGGAAAAAGTAGAAGCCCCCAGGAGCAGAGGGGAAAAAGTAGAAGCCCCCAGGAGCAGAGGGGAAAAAGTAGAAGCCCCCAGGAGCAGAGGGGAAAAAGTAGAAGCCCCCAGGAGCAGAGGGGAAAAAGTAGAAGCCCCCAGGAGCAGAGGGGAAAAAGTAGAAGCCCCCAGGAGCAGAGGGGAAAAAGTAGAAGCCCCCAGGAGCAGAGGGGAAAAAGTAGAAGCCCCCAGGAGCAGAGGGGAAAAAGTAGAAGCCCCCAGGAGCAGAGGGGAAAAAGTAGAAGCCCCCAGGAGCAGAGGGGAAAAAGTAGAAGCCCCCAGGAGCAGAGGGGAAAAAGTAGAAGCCCCCAGGAGCAGAGGGGAAAAAGTAGAAGCCCCCAGGAGCAGAGGGGAAAAAGTAGAAGCCCCCAGGAGCAGAGGGGAAAAAGTAGAAGCCCCCAGGAGCAGAGGGGAAAAAGTAGAAGCCCCCAGGAGCAGAGGGGAAAAAGTAGAAGCCCCCAGGAGCAGAGGGGAAAAAGTAGAAGCCCCCAGGAGCAGAGGGGAAAAAGTAGAAGCCCCCAGGAGCAGAGGGGAAAAAGTAGAAGCCCCCAGGAGCAGAGGGGAAAAAGTAGAAGCCCCCAGGAGCAGAGGGGAAAAAGTAGAAGCCCCCAGGAGCAGAGGGGAAAAAGTAGAAGCCCCCAGCATCAATGAATGTGTAAATCAATTAGAATATGAAGAAAATTACACAACAGCACTGTATTAATTTTCAATGCAGGATACAAAAAAAACAACAACCCAAGTCTCACAATTCATTATAGCAGTCAGGATGAGAAGTGAATGCAGGTGCAAATCATGGAAGTGCAGGAAAATATTGACCTGGAGATTTTCATAATTGTGAATTATTTACAATCCTGATAAGCTTCTGTTACTTCAATATTATACCGGTTTTATGTAAAGCAACTATGAATAGTTCTCTCTGCTTTGTTCCTTAATGGATATATCCAGCAGGAACTTGATTTTCATTTCTCTGGGCAAGGCAGAGACATACTAGCTTAGAGGAGCCTCGTGGCGCAGTGGTTAAACTGCAGTACTGCAGTTAAAACTCTTCTCATGCCCCCAGGGCTCAAGGTTGACTCAGCCTTCTATCCTTCCGAGGTCGGTAAAATGAGTACTCAGCTTGCTGGTGGGGGGGGCAATGTGTAGCCTCCGTAATTAGCTTGTAAACCACCCACAGAGTGCTTGAAGTGCTATGGGGCAGTATATAAGCAGCACACTCTGTTTCATTTTTGTTGTTACTGTTATAATAATAATACAGTGGTGCCTCGCTTAGCAATGTTAATCCATTCGGAAAAGATTGCTGCTAAGCGATTTCATCGCTAAGCAAAATTTAAAAGCCCATAGAAATGCATTAAAACGCAATTAATGCGTTCCTATGGACTTAAAACTCGCCTTTAAGCGAAGATCCTCCATAGCGCTGCCATTTTCAGTGCCTCTTAAGCGAGGAATCCATGCGAAAACACAGCGGGTGGCCATTTTGTTTACCCGGTGGCCATTTTGAAACTGCTGATCAGCTGGCCGAAAGCGACAATAGCCCATAGGGACCATCGCAAAGCGATCGCTTTTGCGATGGCAAAAAGTCCATCACAAAGCGATTTTGACGCTAAACAGAGCAATCGCTATGCGAGGCACCACTGTAATGTGCTGCCAAATTAAGTCAGACTTAAGGCAACCTTTTTCAGGACTTTCCAGGAACAGAATACTCAGAAATGGTTTGCCATGCTTCCTGGGGGGCCCTGGCGCTGTGTGCAGCTAGCCCAAGGCCACCCAGGCTGGCTCTTCTCCCAGGAGGCCCCGTGGGGGAATCAAACTCCCAACCCCTGGCTCTGCAGCCAGAGACCTCACTCACTTAATGAGTCTCTCCAAATTATTTGCCTGCTTCTGCTGATCCTTCCCCTCTTCAGATGTTTTAACTGTTTTATGATATGTTTTATTGTAAGCCGCCCTGAGTAGACACTGTCTAGAAGGGCGGAATATAAATCAAATCAATCAATCAATCAATCAATCAATGTGGTGGCTGCTTTATGGGTGAGGCATCCTGTTCATCTGATCTAGCAAAGTTTGTGAAAGAGTGACAGTGTTTTTTGTTTGGTGTTTCCATGGGTACTTCCCACCCCCTCAGTCAAGAAAAATAGAATTCTTCAGACATTTGCGAAGCCCCTGAATTCCTGTTATGGAGAAGTGGCCCTTGATCTACAAAAGTTCACACTTAAAATACAGCCGTTCGCCTTTAAGGGACCACAACAGTTGGTTTTTTGGCTTCTTTATTTTTTGTTTGTTCGTTAGTTCTTTGGTTTCTGCCTGACAAATTACTGTTGTTTTCCCTCTCAATTTGCAGTACAAAGGACGCGGAAGATTGCTGTCGTGCAGCCCGAAAAGCAGTAAGTAGGCACTTAAAATATAAATAACAAATCCGATTTAATATGTAAATAAATAAGATTTACACTCTAGGATGGCATAAAACTGCCAAGGCAAATGGCTGATGTTCTATGGCTTATAGTGTTGTGTTTGCCCAGATGCCTTCCCAGAAATCGGTCCCTTATGTGGACAGAATGTGCCTTTGCTGGTCTGTGGTAGTTGTGTATGCGGTAATGTGTCTTGCATGGATACCAACCTATGCGTTTATAGATGTGGAAAAATCCAGTTGTTTAATGTAGCAAATTGCACTAATGTCAGCCCATTGAATCAGTGGGGATTTGCTGAGTCAATTCCTCTGTTTCAGTGCCATCGGTTCAAATAGGCCTACTCTAATTGCAACTTGGGAGATTCCCGGTGTGGTGTAGTGGGTAGAGTGATGGACTACGACTCTGGAGACCAGGGTTCGAATCCCAGCTCAGTCGTGGAAACTCACTGGGGGAATGGAACTGGTAAAACCGCTCCTTAAATGTCTCCCTTGCCTATCAGGTAAAACCACTCCTTAAATGTCTCCCTTACCTATCAATTGCTTTCAACTTGACAGCACAGAACAATAACCACAGTGGCCACTTAGGGTGCTGCAGTTTTTTTCGCCACAGTGGCCACTTAGGGTGCTGCAGTTTGTTGCGACTAGAGTAGGTCATTTGAATCAACGGAACTTCGGGAGGAGCTGACTCACCAAATCTCCAATGTTTCTGTGGGTCTACTCCAGGGCAAGTCACTACACTAAGCAAGAGGACTCCAGCCTATCAGTTTGAAGGGCACCTCTTTAAAAATGTTAACTCTGAGGAAAGCTTTTCCCAACTCTTAGTGGTCGTGTTTATGAGATTCTTGTATTAGTGCCACTAGAAGTGTCAAAGATGATCTTCCGTTCATTCCCATGTAGTAATCCTTAGCTCTTAGATCTCAGAAGTCAGAGGAGGGAAGGTTTAAATCTTCCTATCTCTGCATTCTCAGATGTAGCAAATGTCTGTCTGTCCCCACTGCTGGGTGTTCTGTTCCTCTCTTTTGTTTGTTAGTCACAATTGTTGATCTGTTCAGTTGGTCGCTAGCATGTGTACAGTAAAGAAAAGAGACGTTTGTAATTTCAAACTTTCTGTAATATTTTGTATGGGGAGGGGAAAATAACCTCCATAATTTACTCCTGCTTCTATAAACTTTAGAATTTCTTGCCTGCCAACAGCTCTGTCTCTTGTGCATGCATGGTGCCGTTTTGGCTACTTCAGCTGAATATTTGTGACAGAGAGAATGACGTAATTGGATGAATGAGAGACACTTTCTATCTTCCGCTGGGTGCCCCAATCCATCTTCAAGTTTTCCATGGTTTAAATGCAGCCTTCTGTCATCCAATAGGTTACCTCCTGGAACACCTGATGGGAAAAATCTTCATGACCCTTGCGTGATTCCACAGGTAGACACAATAGGTGAGTTTAGGGAAATGGTACACGGAAGAGCCTGTTGCCTTTGACATGTCACTACCATAAACACAATGTGTTTT